TACTCCAAAACCGGAGCCTCAAATTTTCTGTATTTGTGTCAAAATATATAATTGAAAAGGTTCATAAACAAGCTTACCTCTGGATTGTAATCGGTCCACTTTTGGGGATAGCTGACTGTGAATCCCGTGGCCATTGATTTTCCCTGCCAACGATGACCAACTCCTCCGTCGATCCCATAGACACTGCTGAGGAGTTGAAGTGGAGTGTTAAAAAAAAAGAGTCCACCTTTGGCGTCATAACGAGCCACAGAAGATATGTAGAAAATGTGAGGGTCCGGTCATTATAGTTTCTGCCACGGATAAATCACTGTCGCAAATCAAAGATGAGCAAAAATTTAACAAACTTGTTGCAGCTGTTCCAGTAAACGTATAGTTTCCATTTCATGAATTCGACTATATTTTCGGCAAATAGCTGGTCTTGGATAAGCATAATAGACAAAATGTACAACACCAGCACTCACAGTAAAGCCAAGTCCCGCTCTTTCCTCGTTTGAAAATGGAGATGGTAATTCCCATGTTTCATCAAATGATTTGACCCAATCGATGGTCATCTTGCGTTCGTTGACAAGTACCTCCCTTGCAAACGCATTCACACAATCAAGATGGCATTTGGCAGGTTTCAAAGATTCACGCAATTTGGGGTCAGACAGAAGAACTGATTCAGAACTCAAGTTGATTCTGCATTCGACACTGGGAGTTTTGGCCTCTGTAACAATGTATTTTTCCGCTTCCTTGTCATCTAACAAGACCAATGAAATCCCCTAAGGGCGTAGAGCAATGAAAGCTTACATTTATTGAACTCCGGGAAGAGTTTACGAATATAAGTTTCCGTCCTGGGGAATGAGTCATGCGGTTGGATGAAGGAATATAAGCACCTCGTCCTGAGCCGTATTTGAGCCAATTGAAAAGCGATAGGATCATCCGGTAGGGACTTTCTTTTCTCAAATATAGTGTGCAAATGTAAGCGGCGAAAAGACGTGAGGGTCCCAATAGCACTTGTTTGGAGTTGAATTACCTCGTTAGGAATAGGCATTCCAGAGAGGTTGCGGGTGGCTACAGCGATACCAATCAGAACATGGAAAACTGGGATAATAAGCGGTGACGCAGTGAATTTCATTGCATTCCTCATCCAGCAGGTGATCACAGTGTTCCGCAGATCATCTATCTATCTATCTATCTATCTGTGTCTCAGCGAGATTGGACCCTGAGGTTGAGGAATTACCAATCCAGGTATCAGGCAATCCACCGAAGCTTGCACCTTGTCTCTGATATCGACGAAGGAAAACTAGCTTGCGCTGAAGCAGGGCCAGATACGCATCATAGCCAGTCAAGAATGATTGGCTGCCATCTTCTACGAGCTTATGGTGGTCGCACAAGTTGGCCTTGAAGATTTCGTAGCCTTCGTCTTCAAAATATTCTCTCGGCAGCATTGCAATGTTTTCCTCTTTCATAACTCTGAATAACGATTTGAACTAAAACGAAGATGCATTTATAATGGAAAAACCAAAACATGGAATTACCCAAAATTACCCACCGCGGGGTACCCTGTGATAGATAGGGGTAGTGTTGTGCTTATCCTGAGGATCATGCTTGCGGCAACTGTGTGATCATGCTTGCGGCAACTGTGTGATCATTAAATAATACAGTTAGAAGTTAGAGTGCTCACAAAAACACAAACCTTGGTCTCCTCTGATGAGGGTATATGATTTCTTCACCGTCATTCACATAATAATCTCCGAACCAACAATATGCGGGCGCCTCTCCCACACTCCTTTCTTCATTTACCTCAATCGCTTTCAAAGCGGCCTCGATGGCTTGCGATTCAACCTCAAACTGCTGCTGTCTGAGCCCCTAAACATAACAAAATGCAGAGAAATGCCCACCTTGCAAGCCACCTCACAAGCTAAATTGGCAAGTTCTCTTTCCTCTGCATCAAAATAAAGAACAACGTGACGGCTACTGGAGTTTACAATCCAGATATGATTTGGACCATCTTTAACTCGTTGGCGCTCGAACGTTCCTGTGCAAGTTGTTTCGCTGTCAAGTTCAATTTGTGTGTCAATGAGTACTCGGTTGGTCTCGTTAAGATGGGTTGACCGGGAAAAACATGAATTTTTGATAAAAGCAGAATCAATGTAATCGAAAACAGTTTCAATTTTGTTTATTTCTTCAGACGAAAATCCAGGAGCTATGGAGGTTTTGAGTGTTCGATGTCGGTCAGCAGGGACAGTAATAGGAATGTTGTTCAGGTTCAAATGAAAAGAGCATTTCAAGCCAAAACCTGATACCCAAAAACAAAGCAATTGGAAGTAGACATCTGTAAGTTTTTGAATGTGACTATTTGTAGAGCTTCTTTTGAATTTTATGTAGATGGGGCAAGGTTTCGAAAGTTGACAGCCGCTTCCGAGAATGCGTAAGGCTCTGTAACTTTTGAATGATCTTGACATTCGCGTTCTCACTCAAGTCCTTGGTCTCGCATTCGGGACTAAAAAGTATTTCCTCAGTGGTGCGTCTCTTTCACCAGTTATGCGAGTGAGTTGACAACCAAATTGCATATAAAATGATTTTTAGCTATCTGTGCGAATATGTACCACTGTAAATGAAAGCGAATGCACTAGCCATCTCTCGTTTATGTCTCCTTGCTTCTGACCTTTTCCTTTGTTCGTTGCCGTGCTGGCTCAAATGGAGGACATTTTATCCTTCTCCGTCGACACATCCTCCGCAATGGATGGGCTTCTTTTGCTGGGGGATGCCTCTAAGAACCATCCCACCACGTAAGCAGCTACCTCGAGGGAGAATATCACCCAAAAAGCAATCTGGATCCCGGAGGGCACCATTGTCTTAGAATCTGCAACCATGTTCCACTCGTCCATCCCAGTCTTCACCCCGGCATAGAGAAATGCTGCGATAAACACGCCATACAAACCGTGGACATGCCTCAGGGCACTCTTTTCCGCCTTGATCGTCGGGAAGGCACCATCCGTGGTAGACTGCTTGGTGAATGTACAGTGGGCGGCAACACCGAAGACGGCTTCGACCAGAAGTAAGATGACGACCGAGAGACCCAAGTCGTGATGTGGATCCTTCTTCGGACCAACAAACTGACTTCCGTTGCCGCCGCTGGCAACGGCGACGGTGCTCAAGATGAAGAAAAGAATGGTACAAGCGACGGTGAGAGCCTGAAGGATGACGTGAGCTTTAAACCACCAAGCCCTCGAGCGGAAGTAGCGCGCGACGAGAATGGCGGCTGGGACGGTGATAAGCGTTGTAATCGACGCAAAGACCGCTAAGGAAAAATCTCAGTAGTGAGTGCAGAGCCTTGGGCATCCAACGTACCATGGGCAATGATCATTTTGTCATGGTAATCGAAACCTGACGGTTTAGCGTCAGCCATGGTGAGTAGCGTAGCGAGGGTTAGAGAGGACAAGGAAAGGTTTTTTCCCTGGGTTAACACTAGGAATACGGTACGTTTTATTCTATCCGATAAAATAAATTCTCGCCTCTACCGATCAGGTCCAATATTGTGCTGTACGTACATACATGGGACAGATCTTACATATCGAGTAGACAGCTTGCCTTCTTTCGTTCAGTCATACTGCCGAAGGATCAAAGAATTGCGTACCCATCTGGACTTGACTTTTCTAAGTGTTAGCTTGGTGTCGGAGTAAGCGCATGAGTCAGTAGCAATGGAATAGGTTGAGAAATTGATTCATGTTTTACTTGTATCTACAGACACTCGGCATTCATGTTGAGGAATTAACGCATAACGGAGAAGATCTTTGACAAGTCAAAGACCCACTACTTGCTCGGCCATATCGCGAGTTTCTCATCTTATCAGATTGACTTATCGCTATCGCTATCATGGGAGTAAGTTTTCAAATCTAGCAACCAACTAGTGGCTAACCTGGTCCGAACAGTTTACTCGCTATAAATAATGGACTTCTGGATGCCGTCTTGTGCCTTATCAGGTTCGGACTTCTCCGGTACCGCCCGATTTCCGTACAACAGATACAACTCGCGATCAATGAAGGTGCCAGAATAGTCCATATAGAGCTTGAGATTCGTCCGAGTTCTGTTATAATAACCCGCAAATTCATTCTATCTAGCACGAGGTCACTGTAAGAATGTTCCTCGGAGTCGAAATAGTCTCAATGAGGCATATGCATTGTAAGTACCTGCACAGACATTTAAGTACTTGCGCAGACATGGCATTGAATCGACTCGAAGGTTTTTCGGATGTGATGCATCCAAGCTTAACGTAAATACAATCCTATCGGGACACCGGTATCATCAGCATGCGTGTAATGGGGAGCCTGAGATGTCAGCGGAAAAGTACGACGGAAGGCAAGTTCATTCCTGCCAAACTGTATTCGTAGATGGCCAGACAATTTTTCTGATCGATTACGATGTTCCAGGGCTTTTGTGCATGCTTCTACCATTTTTGCCGGTATAAGTATGAAGCAGGCAGAATGAAGCAGTTGTTTGCAGCGCCATCCGGCTTTTCAGAATTCCAGGCTCTCTTCTTTCAAGTATCTCATCCTGGTATCGTCCTGGAGTCGTGCTTCACTATCATGAACCAGTTTCTTGGAGGATTGAGAGCCTGTATGCACTATTACAACCATTTTGATTCTGTCCAATCAATGCCTCGAGAGGTCTCGATTCCGTAGTGGGAAGTTGCAAAAAAAAAAAACCAAAAAGTAGGCCAACCCTTATGGTGCATACACTGTCGCGTTCTCGAGAACCCAATGAAAACTGCGAGTGCCGGAGACATGAGATCAGATAACAATTGCTTTGACCGGCGGCAGGGTTCTGTATCGTAGGGTCTTCCTGTCGTCACTTGATCTGAATATTATGGATCGGGGTATACCTCTGACAAACTCATTAGCCCGTAGGGCATCTGAAGCTTTTTGGGAGGTTGCCCGCGGACAAGGCACTTCACAAGATTTTTGTGGTCTCAATAAGGGGACAGATCTGAACACCCTGTGGTCCTCCTTAAATAAGCTTCCTTAGCTCAGTCGGTAGAGCGCGAGTCTCATAGTATGAGGAGTTTACGGTACTCTTTAATCTCGAGGTCGCAAGTTCGAGCCTTGCAGGGAGCATAGACTTTGATATGTTCATCTTTTTTCTTTTTTTCATGTTTCGTTAGATAAATTTCGTATATCATTATCTGTCGTACAAATTAAGGCAAAACGAGGGTGAGTATATCAAATGGATGAATGCAAGAAACAGTTGACTAAGATGGTTAGGTTGAAGAAAAATATATGAAATAAGCATTAATACGACGACTTGTGCGTGTGGAAGCGTGTGGAAGGAATGTCGAGATATATAGATGATGACAAAAGTAGAAAAAAACACAGTCCATGGTTAACGAGTACACAAGTACACACAACACCAAGGGAAATAATAAGTGGAGAGGTAAATAGGTACTTTTACAAAGATGAATTCTACTATTTCTTAGCTCCTTTCGCCCATTAAGGTTCTTCATCCATATCAAACAAATCGTCACCGGTGCTCGTGTTACGAGCCGCTGCAGCAGGCATCGTCTTTTGCGGCGTCCCGGAGCTGGAAGTTGAATGTGAAGCAGCAGCTCCGGCATACGATAACGGGGTAGATGGTTGGTTTGACGCAGCCTGAGGTGTGAAGGAAAGCTTGGACAGCATCGTATCAAGCTCAGACGAGCTGGTAGCCGCTGGTCCAGTAGTACCAGTTCCTGGAGCACCGAAGGTCGCATTAAGCAGGTTATACTGTGCCTGAGATTGTGGTGGCAAGTTCTGTTGCGACTGGCCCTGCTGTCCTGGAATTTGCTGTTGGTAATTCCCGTACTGCTGTTGCCCATACAACCCTGTCCCGGAACCAGAACCGCTAATCCCTAGGCCAGGCGGAACTTGAGGCTGCGACTGTGGCTGTTGACTAGGCATACGATTCGTACCATAGGGTCCACTGTAAAAGCCGAGTCCCCCGAGACCAGGAGACAATCCCGCACTTCCTGCAGGGGGACTACCGACCGAACTCAAGGATCCAACTTGCATCGAAGTTTTGGCGTGTATCCTCGACAGTCCAGCAGCAAGACCTTGCGGGAGACTTTGACCAGGCGCGTGGTTTTGGAGCGCCGCTCTGGTCGAAGGAGAGACTGCCGCTTCCATACCATTGATACCCCCCAAACCGATGCTGGTCAATCCCATGCTTCGTTCCATGCTTCCTATTCCACCAATATCTCGTGAGGCACTAATTCCGCTGACACCGAACGCACCAGCTGTGGTAGGACCAACAGTGTCTTTCCGAGGAGTTCCGTATGCCATCCCGCCACCACTGGGAGACGTTCCAGGCATTCCTGCACTGGTGGTCATCCGGCTGGTAGTAAGAATACCACTACTAACGCTCCTCTGTGCAGTCCCAGCTGCATTGGCGGTAGTAGCAGCTTCGCGCTCCCTCTTGGCCTTGATATACGCCGAACCGAAACCGTATCCGGGAAGGAATGCCGCGCTCGCATTACTGGGGTTCAAACCAGCCATTCCGAGAGCGGCCGAATTGGGCGAACCACCACCAGTATATGGATAGTAGTCATCCGCAGCGAGACGGCCAGAGGAGGTGAAGGACCCAGGAGTACCGTTTCCAATGCGACGCGGAGGAGAAGTAGCAAGACCACCTGTGGAAAGGGAGGATGGTCCAGTAAAGGAGGAAGATATATTGTTATTCGAATTAGGGCTTGGAATAGGCTGGTCCTGATTTGCCCAGAGATGGCTAATATCACTCATTGGGACGGAACGCGAGTAACGATGCCCTGGTGTGCTGCCTCCCGGTGTGGAACTGCCATCGGCGCGAGAAGCAAGAGGGACGCCGAGAGTGCGGCGAGCACTAAAGCTTTGGGGCGACGTAAGCCCGTTATGTGTATCCTGTTGAGAAGACGAATTGCCTCGCGACAACCTACGTTTACGTTCTTCAGGGGTGAGCAGCTCGGTTAAAGAGCTAGGAAGAAATTCATCTAAATTGTCGAGATCCTCCGTGCCATCTTCGATCACTACAGCAGAAGTAGAAATCGCGCCACGACCAGGCCCGTTGCCCAGATATTCGTCATATTCAAAGGTCAGATCGAAGTCCTTGCCTCCTGGCTGCGTACCAGAAGAGACTGGGGTATTCGGGGTGTGTGGCTGAATGCCATTTAACGGACGTAAGAGGGCAGAAGGCAATGAGGGTAAAGAGCCAATATCAGACCCGTTACCCAAACTACCCCAGGACGGGTTTTTGCCACCAGGAATGCCGGCACCAAGAGCGAGGCCTCCGGAGTTACCTGAAGAGGAGGAACGATTCATACTGAGTCCTGGGCGCGTTGTACTACTGACGGTACCCGGTCCAGTAGGGTTACGAAGGATAGATTGCTTGTAAGGTGATATAGAAAGGATATTGTTGGTTGGTGTTCCTGGAGAAGCGCTAGCAGTTTCAAGGTTTCTCGGGGGAGATCCGATAGGACCAAAGTCCTTCATTGGCGAAGAGGATGTTGTTGTATCCACGTTCGACTCGGGTTTAGATTGCTGCTGCTTTACGCTGATAGCCGGAGCAGTAGGTAACTTGTCGGGTTCAAGAGCGCTGAATGATGCGAAGTCCGTATCGTTCAGAGCGGGCGCAGGTGCGGAAGGAGAAATGGAGGCTTTGAGCGATTTGAGAGACATTGTAGGAGGTCGGGCTGTAGCTGATAATAAGCCAACTGGCGAAGAAGAAGAAATAGGGAAAATGACCTTGCTGAGCGTCCCTTCGCCGCCCCTTTCCCTCTCTACTCTCCCTACTCTCCCTGCCCTCTTTGCCCTCTTTAATCTCTTTGCCCTCTTTTCCTGCCTGTGCCTGCTGCTGTGCCAATTTTTTGTTTTTCCTGTCCATGCTCATACTCTGGCCAGGCAATACATGTGCGAGAGCACATTTGTGGCCAAACTTGCAGTTGTTGCCTTTTACGAACCAAGCACAAACATCTTTTTGAGCTCCCGAAGTGACAGCGGTGTGGGAGAAGGGACAAGAAGAGCCTGCAGTGCAGGAACCAACTTTGAAGAATTTGCAGGGAACATGGGAGAGATCCTTGGCTGGAAGGATGAGCGTCAGAGAAAGAATCTATTTTCAATGAGAGAAAAAAAAAATGGCAATAGATACTTTTGGCTGCAGCATTGGAGCCCCCCGGCGACTTTTTAATCTTCTCGTCTCTGTCTTCGTCGACTGAAGGCATGGTAGGAAGTTATAGATGATCCGGCGAAAATTTTGATTGCAGGAAGAGAAAAATGGTTGTAGAGTGAGGATACCTGAGTTCGTTCCTATTCGATGGAGCAGCAAGCAAGCAAAAGATTGATACTGGGCAATGCTAGGAACAATCCAAAGGCGGAGGCTATATAAGGTGCAGTGGAGATCGCAGTAAGCTAAACTCGTCGTTCACTGCTCTGACGCCCAATGCCTCATGTCAGCGTATGACTCAGCGCTTCTAGGCGTCTACTAGCTGTCGCTGAGTACTTAGCCGAAGCTTGACAATTAAATACTGCTCTCCTGGGCAGAGTATGATATTTGAGCTCGAAAAACCCGTGTCCCAGTTGGCTAAGAAGCCCGACATTACAGTAAGAACCTCCTACCACCATCGCCAATGTGATAGACGACAATTGGAGTCCTTTTGGCGTTTCGATTTGTTTAAGACCTTGAGCTGAATGAAAAGGGCTAATAGTCATCGTGTCGTGCGCAATCCACAATCTCAAGATGCTTTAGAACGACCACTGGCTTGATAACTTGTGCCTATTAGTATTGGTTCCGAGTCATTCTCCATCTAATCGAATTCTGATTACTGACTATGGATTTGGAGGGGGGGGGATGTTAACGAAGATGCAGATTTTGCGGTATGAGTTATTCTTGTGATTGCATTCAGAAAATCAAAGCGATTCAAGAGATATTTTTGACCTTCATATACTGGTCATGTCCACCACGCCATATATAGTGCCCGCAACTGTACTTGCTGACTCGGGCGTTGTTTTCGGTAGGCGCCTCAGTTCATTACATTTCAAAATTTCGTCAGCATTGCCAGGGTCTTGCTTCCCGTCTCTGGTTTGCGGTGTGAAAGAGTAAAACTATCAGATTTCCCAGAAACTCCCCTTGTCCAGAGCCTTATTCTTCGATCTTTGGAGAGACGTTCTTTTTGCGTGTGTAGTACAGTTAGCTTCCAGCGATGAATCGTGCGTCAAATGCGAGAGTGTTTGCGCTCGATGGAGCCCATCGAGGAGTTGTTGGAAGTTATTGAGATGGCAGCAATGGAGATTGTATAGGGACGGAGCAAGTCCGGAAAATAATCGCCTTAGCTGATCTGAATGTCTGGAAATATTCCTTTTCCGTCATACACACTCGGTTCTATCCAGGAGATGTAAGTTTGAACGGATGGTTTGGTGGATTCGAAGTCGAGCTGCATCACTAAATCACTCCTGAGGCTGCAAAATATGATTTTGAACAATGTCCAATGGATGTTGCTCCAGCCTCTTCGCTTGTATGGACGAGAAATACCTCTCTTGTTAACGTTGTGACTACTTCCGTGAATGAAGTATCACGTTATCGGAGGTGTTGGCGCCATCAAAAGCTGTCTTGGAAATGTTGAGTCTTGTGCTACGTGCATCCTGTACTTTCGCTGATCCACGCTTTCTCGGTAAATCATGACGGACTCTCATGCATTTTCTCAGAGCAAGGCGCCGCCAAGATCGTAGCAGCATTTTGCTCGTTAGCCGATGAAAAATTTCTAATAATTTGAAAACAGTCCTTCCAAAACCACGAACAGCGCTCACAGGGAATCATGAAATACGCGGTGCGTGCTTGGTATCGAGTCGATAATTCGTTCATCTGCGACTACATTACCCGGAATAGAAAGCTTCTGAATTTTCTAAACTATTTCCTTCCCATACGAAGACGTATGTAGATTAGGATGGGAAGCTCATTGTCATAGTAATCATTACTTCTCAACTTCACCGGAAGCGTCGCGAACCCTCTTATACTCATCAAGCCCCAGAGCTATGGTCAGAACGACCTTATGCATCGAAAGCTAGTTTGCTTCTATTCTCATATCCTCTTCGATTTTCTCATCAAATTATTCATA